CCCCTGATTGTACAAAAAATCACGTTTTTAGCTTGTGAACACTGTAGAGGCCACAATTTTTTATCCGATTTGGTTCAAACTTGAAATGTATGCTTATAACCCAAAGATCTCGGTTCCTTTCGATATTCGCGCATATCGGAACGTAACTTCCTGAATATGGCCCCTGATTGTACGAAAAATCGCGTTTTTAGCTTGTGGACCCTATAGAGGTCATAATTTTTATCCGATTTAAAAAAACCGTATTATTATATCACAGTTACACAACCTAAGGACGACTGAATTCGAATTTCGTGAAAATCGGCCCAAAACTGACAGACAAAATGGCCGCCCTTCATTCTCAAATAGCGTAAAAATATGGTATATCAAGGTTGTGGACCCTATAGAGGTCACAATTTTTATCCGATTTTGTTGAAACTTGAAATTTAAGTTTATAACCCAAAGATCTCGGTTCCTTTTCATATTCGCGTATATTGGACCGTAACTTCCTGAATTATGGCCCCTGATTGTACTAAAATCGCGTTTTTAGCTTGTGGACCCTATATAGGTCATAATTTTTATCTGATTTAAAAACACGTTTTATTATATCACCGTTACGCCCTAAGGACAGCTGAGTTCGAATTTCATGAAAATCGACCCAAAACTGACAGACAAAATGGCCGCCCTTCGTTCTCAAATAGCGTAAAAATATGGTATATCAAGGTTGTGGACCCTATAGAGGTCACAATTTTTATCCGATTTTGTTGAAACTTGAAATGTAAGTTTTTAACCTAAAGATCTCGGTTGCTGTCGATATTCGCGCATTTCGGACCGTAACCCAAAGATCTCGGTTCCTTTCGATATTTGCGCATATCGAATTATAATTTTCTGAATTATGGCCCTTGATTGTAGGAAAAATCACTTCCTTTTTACCTTGTTCTCGATCCATCTCTTGAAAATGTGGGCGTATCCTGCCTGGCAGCCGCTGGTTTTTAAATCGGATACAAATTGTGACCTCTAGTCGAGGGACCACGAGCTAAAAACGAGATTTTTCGCACAATCAAGGGTCGTAATTCAGAAAGTTAAGATCCGATAAGCGCGAATATCGAAAGAAACCAGATGATAATTGTGACCTCTAGAGTGTCTACACGCTAAAAAAAAAAGTGACTTTTCGTACAATCAGGGGCCATAATTCATGAAGTTTCAATCCGATACATGCCAATATCGAAAGGAACCTAGATCTTTTGGAGATAAACCTATATTTCAAGTCTCGTCAAAATCGGATAAGAATAATAATTGTGACCTGTATAGTGTCGACAAACAAATTATGGATGGAAGTCCGGACGGACAGGGGTGACGAAAATATACGTCCATATGAAAATGTGGGCGTATAAAAATATCTATTTGATATAAGGTAAAACATAATACATTGCAATCTGCTAATTACAGTATGAGAACCATATAAGATAAAACATAATACATTACATTGGAAGCGAGGCTAATTGAGATGACGTCACGCGCTGGGTCGAAATTCAACAGAATTGAAATTATATTACAAATGACTTGGGTGAAAATTAAAATTGACTTGGGTGGAAATTATAAAAAACAAATTATATTAAAATTGACTTGGGTGGTAATTAAAATTGACTTGGGTGGTAATTAAAATTGACTTGGGTGAAAATTATAAAAAAAAACAAATTATATTAAAATTGACTTGGGTGAAAATTAAAAAAAAACAAATTATATTAAAATTTACTTAGGTGAAAATTAAAATTGACTTGGGTGAAAATTATAAAAAACAAATTATATTAAAATTGACCTGGGTGAAAATCATAAAAAACAAATTATATTAAAATTGACTTGGGTGAAAATTAAAATTGACTTGGGTGAAAATTATAAAAAATAAATTATATTATTTTTCATGTCCCTTAGCAGTCACCGTACCCGAGAAATCCCGCTCTGGCCATTGCTGGATTGGCTTCTGATACTTGGGCTTTTGAGGGAGTGTGTCTATTCTTCCCGTTCAATCAAATCTATCCCAAGTACAGCAACATGACAGCCCTTCGTTTAATCTGGGGTCTTCCCTAAAACTTTGGACAGTGATGTAAGGTATTAAAAAATGGTGAAAGTATTGTTCGTCTCCAAACAGTATTGTTTACATTGTATTTGTTTTGATAGCCTCGTTTATCGCTTTTTTCTGCAATATTCTGCTATGCACTGGTTAATTGGGTATAATAAAATCGTGAGTCATGACGTAACGTTATGTAAACAAATTTTGTCCAATTTGGAGCTCTGTTTAAAGCGTAATGGTTACGCCGTTAGCTATTGGTTGTTAATCGGACAATTGACCAGTCATAATTTGGAACAGAAATTTGCTTACTTTACAGCAGTATTAAGTGGGATTAGGTATAATCAAACGCAACACTGCGAGTAGTATGCTGAAAAATATGCATTGTTTAATTATGTTGATTGTAAGATCTAAATATTATCCAATCTATTGTGTATACACACGGGGTGAGTAGTTTCGGTCAAAATGGTATAAAAAATGTGACCTGTTTAGAGTGTTCGCAAACACGGGCGTCAGGGCGGATAGGGGCAACGACATAAATGGGTGTGCACATGAAAATGTGGGCATATATATAAAATACGTATATGGACAAGAACGGCAACACTTAAGAATTTTCGGTTTCATACAAACTAAGCATGGCGTTATTCTTATAAACGATAATGATTACTTTATTCTCACAATCATTAATGATTTTATGATGCCAAAAACATACCACATTACAAAGAAGAATTCAAAATGCGTTAATGTTCCAGTACAACCGATAAAAGGTCCTGCCATATTAGATAACGATAATATCTGAGCATGTTGTAATATACTGTTCTGCCATTATCATACATCTGACGCGTATCTGGGGGAATAGGGCGAATGGTATTCCTGTAATGCCACTGTATTTCCATTTGGCGTCGTTCATCATTATTATCCAGAAATCCGGTAATCAGGACGTATACACTGTCCCACGGGGGCAAGAAGTGTCCCGAGTGTCTACAGATCCATTGCCTCGATTATGTTGAGTTACTCGGTTTCAAATATTTATAGTATGTTCTACATATTAAAATTTTACGAACGTTGTCACTTTATACTTACAATTAAGTATGACGTTTTGTTTACCTTCAAAGATCACAGCAAATTGCAGCGATCATTGGCTGATAGTCGGTCAGCAGTTATTTGCCAGGTATCATCGCTGAATCCGCGGCAAAATAAAATACTCAACTATCTGTGCGTATGAGCTCGTTTCGGCAACTTGGATACTATATTGAATATTTAAAAATAGTTTTAGCCACAAGACCGATGGGTGGAACCAATGTCATAAAAATCGGACCTAGCTTCTGGCCTATAACTAAGATAACTAGAACATACTTGGAAGTTCACTTCAACAAATACAATCAAATTTTAATGTATAATGCGTAGGGGTGGCTCCAGCAATGAGATCGACCATGTAAAACGTCGAATGACGTCATCATTGCGCAGTGGAGTAACTGGAATTCTATTACGAAAATCGTGGACAGGAATATGTATCCACGTAATTCTATTTTTTCTAGTCAAAGGTTTAACTCTTCTTTCATAATCAGTAACTTACTGTCCTCAATACGCAGCCGTTCTAAAGGGGTGAAAAAATATCGCCATTCCCAACACTATGGGTTGTCGCTGACAAGTAGTGCTATGAATTTGAAATGGGTCGCTGCGCGACAATGGTTAGTCGCCATGCGGGGCAATTCGTCCAGACGTGCTATAGCATTTGAGAATGGCCTCTCGCCCATTGCGTCAGTTGTTTGATTAACCATTATTATTTTGATAATATTATTGTAAATGAAGACGAAAACTGCCCGTAAAAGTTGGTTAGATATAGCTTAAAGATACCGATACATTAATTAAGAGTTTAATAATGAGTTGGCCATTCTTGCTATAATAATTCAAAAATATATGATAAAAAAAGAAAATATTGAAAATTTGAGTCAAATTACTTTATTCTGAACGTAGATGGGAGTTTGGACTAGAAATAGGCATCAACTCTGTGCGCACCGTCTACAAGAATTACCGATCGTTTGATTGACTGACGATAACTCCACCCATATTTTCTCGATTATCAAGTAACATTCTCAATGACTATGGTACCCTCGCTTGGCCGGCCTTTCATCACCAGTCTCCGGTAGTGACGTCAGTGACTAACGGTAAACGTTAGCTTAGTCCGCCATTTATTGATTTAACTTTAAATGGACGACTGTTAAAATCCATGCCACCAGAAGGTCTACAGAGTTGATTTTGAGCTTGTCATGTAAATAAAGGTCTAATTAATAATTTCCATAACATCTGAAGCCTAAATAAAAACCTGCAATAGGCAGATATAGCTCTTGCATAATGTATGTTTAATAGCAGCTAGAAAATAATATACGGTATCTATATTTATTATGTGCAATTTTCTTTAAGTATAGACATTTCCTTCCAGGCAAACATGGGCGATAACTGTCACATACTACGTTAGAAATTCGTCATGATTAGTACAGTTTTTCACTAATAACGCCCAGAAAAGATCAGTAAATATTAGCTTGCAACAATGTGTAAATATGACGTTGAATAGTGGGTATTATACGATAACATACCCGAGACGTTATTTATTGCCAGGCTGACAACGTAGGTGGGTCGTTAACAGTGGGAAAATAAACACTATAAAGAAATAATTAAGCATGCGATTTTCTAAAATTTGTCTAGTCGTTCGTATGGTACAAAAAATGAGTTTCAGTGTTCGCACTGGCGTCAACTTAAAAGAGCCTTAGCAGTTGGAATTCAATTGAAGAGTAGGCGGAATCGCGACTTTCCGAGCACGATTTCCACAATAACACACTGCTAGCTTTAATGCCCGTCTTTAATTAGCTTAGTTCAATAGTTGGCGTAAAACGTTAAACTCCATTTCACTTTATTTCTCATTTCCGAATTGCCGTGATTTGATTACACTTATTTCCTCATGTTCAAATTTAATTGTGTGCAAAATTTTAGACAAATTATTGAGCCATCATCCGGGGAATGGTTGTAATTCAAATTATTCTTATATGCATCATTTAAATTAGTATAACAAATAAGCCTGTTGAATTCCAGCAATTTTCGTTAATTACATCTAGAGTTATGGCCCTTGTTTCACTTTTTTCAATCTTGTAAACGCTCTAATACCAACAGTTATCATCCGATCTGTTTGAAATTGATATACATCATTTAAATTAGTGAAACGAAGAAGCTTATTGAAATTCAGCAATTTCAGTTAATTACATCTAGAGATATGGTCCTTGTTTAACTTTGTTGTACCTTGTGAATGCTCTAACGACAAAAGTTATTATCCGATCTGTGTGAAATTTATATGTATCGTTTAAATTAGTAAAACGAACAAGCCTATTGAGTTTCAGCAAATTTCCGTTAATTACATCTAGAGTTATGGCCCTTGTTTCACTTCGTTGAATCTTGTGAACGCTGGAACGACAAAAGTTATCACCTAATCTGTATGAAATTCATATGCATCATTTAAATTAGTGAAATAAAGAAGCCTATTGAATGTCAGCAATTTCCGCCAATTACTTCTAGAGTTATGACCCTTGTTTTACTTTGTTGAACCTTGTGAACGTTCGAGCGACAAAAGTTATCATCCGATCTGTATGAAATTTATATGCATTATTTTAGTAAAACGAAAAAGCCTGTCGAATTTCAACAATTTCTGTAGATTACTTCCAGAGTTACGACCCTTGTTTTAGTTTTTAGAACCTTGTGAACCCTCAAATGACGAAAATTGTAATGTCGTCTGTATGAATTGTCTATTAAATTTCCTTAATTACCTACAAAAAAATAAATATGCGACAACCCTTGTCGACCGCACGGACGATAATTTAGCTGCTGTGGGCGTATGTTTTGTTGTCTGGCAACCCATCTTTTTCTATATTAACACTACTACGGTTTCAACTTCATACATCTATTGATTATATTGCCCGACATAAGTGTTATTATTTATTGCCCTAAATTGTAACCATTTTATATAAGACTAAGGAAACATCGACGGATTTACATTGCAATGTTGACAGAGCAGTCGTAGAAAGGAATACTCACTACTGGTATCGCGCTCGACCGACCACATGCTGATTGGCTGAGAATCATCGTCAAAATCATGTTTAGCCAATGGGGCTGTTTTAATAATAAACGATACTTCGCAAGGCAATATCGCTGGTTGTCAAACACTGTAACTTTTAGAAACATCCATCCTCACCATTCAGACGCCGATTAGATTACCATAATGGATATTCCGTTGAACATTTTGGTTTATTTGGCCTTGCCAGCTCTTTTGTCTTTTTCGTGGATCAAGTATAGAGGCTTGGAATATGTTCTCATCCATTACCGTTGGGTTTTCGTCTGTATTTTCTTGCTACCGGCTTCTGTGGTATACGATAGCTTGATATTTTTAAGGCACTGGGCTGTGTTTCATTTCAATTCGGCACCGAAGCAGCATGAAAAAAAGGTTCAAAATGTGCAACGACAGGTATGTATATTGTTTAACCTTGATGCAACTTGAAATTGACAGCTTTTGGTGTCTTGGTTGCAAGAGAATGGAATTAGATAATTGGAGCCGGTGTGGTGTTACATCACGCACATTCCACGTGCTTGTTGCAGGCACTCAATCCCGTTACTGGCTCTGACAGTTCTGTTCTAGTCTGTCAATGGTGTCATGCCAGAATTGCCGATTTTTAATTTCTTAATAATTTTCTGTAAAGAAAAGCATGGAAACAAATTGATACACAAAGATATGATAAATACAATGTTGATTAACATAAATATTGCACAGCAAGTGCATGAGTTATAAAATACAGTATGCACACCATAAGAATCACAATACTGGTAGTTACTTCTTATACGAAAATGAGCATGAAAATTGAATGTTAGATATAAAATATGTATAGGTACTTATAAACAGTATAAATATATTTCAATATTATATTAGAAATATAAATATGCAGATCTTATTTTATGTGATTGCCAATGTTTTTCATACTTTTTGTTGAATTGTATGCTTTGGGGTACTGTTTTTGCATAATATAGCATTATCATTACAACATTTGATATGTTCATATGATGTATGTAGTTTCAGAGCAAAATTGTTTAATCTGCAGGACTAGAAAGATTATGCTGCTCTCATGTAATTGATATAAAAATGATAAATTGTAAAATTTAATTTTATATTCCAAAATGAAACAAAATTTACATTGATGCTGAAATAAAATAGCTTTGTTTTTGATTTTCTGATTGATAAAATTAGATAATATCATTCGACACATAATCATGAATACCTTAAATAGTTGCTGAATCAGAGGCCCAACCCTCCAGTACTTTCCGATGGACTTTTAAAATATGGAATATGATAATGTATGTATGTTGGCTTACTACTCATTCAAAGCCCTCCCGTCAAAAGGCAAAACCTAGTAACTCACTTTTTTTTTAATCAAAATTGAGTTAGGACCAAATTTGTAGTTACTAGGGTATGTGCTTCCTGTTGTTGTACTAGATATTCCAATCTGTTGATTTTGTAAAGCAGTTACACCCATGACACAACCTAGCAACTTCCTTCATTTGCCTAGTATACCACAGCAAAACCTAGTAACTCAATAGTCAAATCAATGGATACACTGGGGTTTGATATTCATTCATTACGTTTTCCTTTGTTTTCTAAAAATAAGAAAAAAGTGAGTTACTAGGTTTTGCCTTTTGATGGGAGAACCAAAGCTAGCAATAATCAATCACCATCTGTCAATTTTGTCCCCTTTCTACTTGATGGTTACTAAGATGCAATTATTTCTGTTGATTATATTCTTTATTTATGAAATAATCCAAATCGCAAAGGTCCACGCACCCCTTCCCACTGGGAAATCCTGGCACAACACAACCCCGACTCCAGCCAATTAAAATCTTTATTCCAATGAAATTACTTGCAAAGTTAAGCTAGAAGCGGAGCGGACAAATTCAAAAGCTGCCGATCGCAGTGAGCAAAGCTAAGCGAAGCTGGTCTTGTCGTGTTGTTAAATGGAACACATGATCGCAACAGCAGACTTCTTGTTGCTGATTGGCCGTTCCGCTACAAAGTTTTGGGCGAAGCAAAGAAGTTGAACCAAGCTTAACTCCTTCACTTTGCTCGAAAATTGATATGTGAAGACGCTGTGAAGCTAAAACTTTGCTGAAAGCTGGGATTTAAAGCTAGCAAAGTTTTGTGAAGAAAATTCCTCGCTTCCCTTAGCAAAGTATAAATTGGCCTTTAGACTTTACTATAGCCTACTGCAGTCACCATGAATGGAAAGTGTTAGATAAAATGAACAAATTTTTATTATTTGCTTTTAATATTTAGGCCCATATTAAGACATGTGATTTTTTTCTCCTTAAAGTGAGGATATCCCAAGGGAAGTAATAGAATTAGATATACTGGGTATTTATTTTGCTGGGCACCTAAATTATCACTTTAAAAATATTTTATCTTCTTTACCTCATAAAAAATTCTGTATTTAAAAAAAGAAATAGTACTACTAACCTGATGAAAAGGTATGCGAATGTATATATATTGATAAATGTATTATACTGTCATGAAATGATTTTGAAAATAATAAAGTTTTCAAAACATTCGAACTTGGAGAGAAACATGCCATTAATTTAAGAATAGAATACATTTTTAATAAATTTTCATGAAATTTAGCATTTTGAAGTAAACACAATCAAATTTTTCTTTATTTGCTATGATATTCTAATAAAGATTATGGTTGTTTTAGATACAAAAAGTGCTATGAAATAATAGTAATATGGTTTTCTCAGATTTCTGAATTTTAGTTTTTGATAATCGACGACCTTGAATGAGAATTGAGAACTGCAAAGTCTACAAAAACATACATATCAAATATTTAGGTCATTTGAGACGCTTCATTCATTCTTCATTTAAGGTAAATAATTTCAGCGGATCATTTAAGACACCTTGGAGTTAAATGATAGCTAGCTTTCATGGTTTCATGACTTCAAATAATACATATTGCTTAAGGACGACTTAACTTGGAATAAGTTTGAATATGTACAGGTTAACTAGCTTACATTGAAATTTTACATGTACCTATATGTATTTTCATTTAAAAATTAGCCATGAACCATAACCATAAGGATTCACAATGAGACAAAATATATAAACTGCTTCGTACTTGTATGTAACTGATGTGGATGTGCATTTCGTTGCCTTCAATGTATCTATTTTAATAACTGAACTAAGCAGGTTTCCTAAACCTTCTTTACAGCAGGTGCAATACAGCTAATTTGGAGTGGTGGTCATAACACAACAAATAAAATATATTGAATAGTTTCCCTGTAATCACATCAGATTTCTCATATCTCCCTTCAGTAAGGCAAGCAAAGGTGATTAAGGGGACCAACAGTGTCGCTTTATTTTCTCCTGATAGAAACATGGAAAGAAACATTACAGTATGTCCTTTAATAATTAATAACATGGTGCACTCTGAAGTAATAATGCTACCTCAAATGAAAGAAACCCCTCAGTATATCTGGCATATCCAGTTAAAATGAAATACATTATCCAACAAACATCTGGCTTGGATTAATCAGGCATTTATAACAACTCTATTACTGGTCTTATTAATATCTGAAATTAATTTCTTGTTGTATGAATTAATATCTGAAGCTTCTATGTCCATGTACAATCAAATACATGGTGTAAAATTTTTGAAAAATACCAAACACAATTGGAAAATAGGATTATAACAGTTTCTACTCCCTACTTGTCATATTTGATTAATTTTTAGATGTTTTATTAACTAGATTAACACTTGTACTGTGTAGATGACATCTGTAAGGATGGTGACTACAGTAGAGATAGCAAACTGTGAATAACATGATTATAAATATAATATTGGCTGGACCAGTGTGAGAAGATAAGATTATCAGTTAGTAGCTATTTTCACATGTTGCTACAGTCTATTTCTCTTCACTTATCTTCACGGTACAAGTTCATTCCGAACAGTATGGCAGGTGGACAACTGACATGATGTTCTTAATAGTAGTATTTCATATCCCATAGATTAATTCACATTTAGATAATTTGCTTTCCTAATTATTGGTTCAACAGAAAGCCAACTGGGAAAATATATAACAACCTTGTAAAGTACATACTATGTACCCTACATGTATCTATTAGTAACTGTCACTAGCAACAGAGTACGAAATATCTGATCTCTTTCAGACCTCTGATGGCTGTTTATACTCCAATATTTAATATGTTGTTTTCTTGGATTCCAAACACATTTCATATGGATGTATACGGTAGTCACCTTGGTTTGTTATCCATCCACAATGTTCACATGGGACAAGGAGGAACTCTGGGGGAATTCAAAATCTCTAACTGTGCAGTTATTCCCCTGTGAGTGCAGGTTTTTGTCCACAGCAATAAATATTGGATAAATTTAAATCGGCGTACCGACCTCATCACTGCGCTGAAACAATTATAGTTCGGGTGTTGAATGATCTCCTTCGGATAGTTGATCTTGGTAGTCTTGCATCCTTAATCCTCTTGGATCTGTCCACTGCATTTGGTACGGCGGACAATCAGGTTCTTGTTAATTGACTGCATTGATACTATCATGTATCTGCAATGGCATTGCGTTGGATATCATATCTGTCAGAATGAATGACATTCTGTTAAAGTAGCCAAGTCTTTAACTCAATATCATCCACAGTCTTCGACATTGAAAACACAATATATTTGTCAGTTTAAATCAGCATTGATGTTGTGATTTAACCGAGAAGATATGGACTTCTGATATCCAATATTTAAGACAAACATTTTACCATTGGTACGCGATTCATGTACCAGAATGCGTTTCAGCACCTTTTGTAACAAGGGACTCGAAGAACGAGACTAGACATATTCCACAACTCATGTCAAACGGTAACACCATATTCTTATCTGAAGAGCATGCGCAATAAATACTACCGGTATAGACTGGAATAACCAGACACTAGAGACTGCCATTCGATTGAAACTTTTCGCGTATTTCACTGAACATAATTGATTTGAAATTAGAGTAAAACAGAAATGATTGAATGTAAATCACTTTATATACATTCATATTACATTATTATATGCGTTGCGACCCATTTGTGTCAATTTCTAGGTCCCAAATATTAGCGATTTAGCTCCTTTAAGCTTGATTGTGGTGTCTCCTAGAGGTCCGTACATGGGCCTGTGTTGCTTGCCTTATACACAAAATGCCTTGGTGATGTAATACATGTAGATAGTTTCAGGATCTCTCACTATTCCTTCACTGATGACACCCAATTAATCAGGGACGAAAATCAAAATGAATTTGAGAGTCTCTTCAGCAGGCAACACTCTATGGAAGCCATGCTTGTAGGGACATCTCAATGACTTACATGTATGTCTACTCCAAATTCATGTGTAAAGAATCTTGGAGTGCTACTGGATTCCTCATTAACCATGGAGAA